TTCCCTCCTGCTGCTGCCCCCCATACTGCTGCTTTCCCGCGTGCTGCCACTGCCATGCCTGCAGCTCTGCCAGTCCGTACTGTTGCCGGTTCCTGTCTCTCCTTTCATGAATCGAACTGACGGAACGTCGGGGAGAGGGAGCCTTCCGACTCGACTCAAAAGCTTCCTCTTCCTGCCCGTACTGCTGCCGGCTTCTGTCTCTGCTCTCGTGAATCGAACTCACAGACCTCTGTGGGGAAGACAGTTTAATACGCGACTCAAAAGCCTCCTCTGCCTGCCCGTGCGGATGCCTACTCCTGTCTCTGCTCTTGTGAATCGAACTCACGGAGTGCTGAGGAGAGGGAGACTTCTTTTGAGTCGACTCAAGGGGCACCTCTCCCTGCCGGTGCTGCTGCCGGCTTCTGTCTCTGCTCTCGTGAATCGAACTCACGGCCCTTCGAGGGGACAGAGGTGGTCGAGATTGCATCAACGCCTGCTGTTTTTGCTGCTGCTGCTGCTGCTGCCACAATCCCTGCTGCCACTGCCCCCGTTGCACATCCCTCTGTGAAGCATCCCTGTGTGAAACAGCTGCCGATGACTTCTGAGTCGAGTCAAATGCCGTCTTGTTCCCCTGCGACAAAAAACTGCTTTCGAAAGAAACATCCCTCGGGAAAAAAACAGCCGATGGACCTGTGACGACAGCTGCAGCACCCGCACCCGCACCCCCAACCCCAACCCCAACCCCAACCCCAACCCCAACCCCACCACCACCACCACCACCACCACCACCACCACCAGCAGCAGGGGCAGCAGCAGTGCTACCAGCAATGCCCTCCGTTTGCTCGAGAGACGGCCTTCTTTCCACAGCCATGGAGTTCCATCGTCGGTTCACCCGAGCAGCGGCATTGGCAGCAACTAGCCGCGTGTTGCTGCTGCTGGTCTTGTTGCTGACACCAGGGGTGGTGCTGGTGGCACTAGCAGTAGTGATGCTGATACTACTGAATACAGCACCAGTAGCAACAGCAGCAGCAGCAACAGTAGCAGCGATACCCTCACCTTCCCAAGAGCCAAAATCAGCCCACCGCTGCCCCGACTGCTTTTGCTCCAATGGCTGGGCGCCAGCTGGCATCTGCCATCCCTCCCTAACAACTGACTCATTAAAAGCCGACTCATAAGCAGTTGACTCGATAAGAGCAGACTCGTTAGTAGACGCTCCAGAAGCGGTGGCGGCTCCAAAAGCTGTTGTGGCAGCAGGAGCGATGTAAGCTACTTGCATTGATAATCTTCGACCACCCCACTTGCTCCGTGCCGCCTCTAGACTCTCCGGAATAACTAGCCTCTCGTGCTTTTGCTCCTCCTTACCACCTCTACTAGAAGCAGCAGCAGCAGCAGGAACACTAACTGTCCGCCAGAGAGCAGACGACACAAACTCCCCCTTTTCAGTATCATTGATATTCGCGTCAAAACTCTCCGGAACAACAAGACTCTCTTTTCGAGACGTCGCAAAAGGGCTCTCCGGGATGACAAGCCCCTCGTGCTCTCCAAGCCTCACCAATGCATTGAGGCGAGGAATGTGGGCATTTGTGAGCCTTCCCTCCCTTGCTCTTGCACCTCCCGCACTCTTGCTGCGATACAGGGCCACCTCTGCATCATCATCAGTAGAGGTTGCCACCCTAGTCCTCCCACCAGCACCAGCAGCAGCACCAACGGCATCAGCAGCACCAGCAGCACCAACACCAGCACCAGCAGCAGGAGCAGCAGCAGTAACACCAGCAGCAACCGGGTGGTTACCACCACTACTAGTGTAAGCAGCGGCAGCGGCAGAAGCAGCAGAAGCAGCAGCAGGGACACTAGTTGTTCGCCAGATAGCAGGCGACAAAGTTTCACTGCCACTGATGGCACAGATGTTCATGTTGCTACCACCGCCATTACCACTGCCGCCCCTGCTGCCGTCCCTGCTGCCAGTGCCGCTTTCACTGCTGCGGCTGCGATGGTGGCTCTGCTGACCCTGCCCATAATCCCACCCATGGTTCTGCCTGTGATTTTGCCCGAAATTCTGCTGCGAATTCTGCCCGTAAATATTACTCTGCCCCTGGTTGGAAGAATAACGTGCCTGTGCAGGGTTGCTAGCACCAACAACACCACCACCACCCCTGTGCCATGCCATTGCCATACCACCACCACCACCACCACCACCACCACCACCCCCCACAGCAGGCACAGCAGTCGCAGCAGCAGATGCGACTCTATCAGAGGTATTGACAACAGGGGCGAATTCCCCACTTGATCCTCTGCTTCTTCTGCTAGCCCAATCGCCCTTGCCGTGCCCTGTGGGATGCCCAGTGGCAATGCCATCGCCATTGTCATTCCCTGTAACCCCCAGGCTGACAGTGCGACCAACAGCAGCAGGCCGTGCGGTTTGCTGCTTGGGCGACCTTTGAGGCGCCTCAAAAAGCGTCTCGGGGCGACCAACACCAGCACCAACACCAACACCAGCACCAGCACCGGCACCAGCACCAACACCAGCACCAGCACCAGCACCGGCACCAGCACCAACACCAGCACCAGCAGGCGGTGCGATCCGTTGCTTGGGTGACTTGAGGGCTGAGCCAGAGCCGGTTCGGGGTGTCTTGGGCGTTAAGGGGGGCAATGGGGACCGCGATCGGAACGACGGCACAGTAATCGTCAAACCACCACCGCTGCCACTGCCACCGCCAGCACCACCACTACCAACAACAGCAGCAGCAGCACCACCTCCACCTCCCCCAGCAGCAGCTGCAGCAGCAACAGGAAGGTCTTCAGAGCTTGACGGCGCAAGGAGGGGAAGAGAGGGAAGGCGGGATCGAAAGAACCCGAGCTTGCCAGGACTCTTAGACTGAGAGGAGGAAGAGGAGGTGACAGAGGAGGAGAAGGAGGGGGGAGGGGACGCACTCGGACTCACTCCCACTGATCTCCCTCCATAACCCCTTCCAACCCCTGCTCCCCCTCCCTCTCCTCCTCCTCCTTCACCTCCACCACTTCCCTTCCCAACCCTGCCTCCAAGGTTCACTCGTCCTGCTCCTCCCCCGCCCCCCCATATATTGCGTCCCTTCCCTCCTCCTGTGTTATTCTCTGGGCCGGATAAGCTTCTTCTCCTCCTGAACCCACCCCCTCCTCTCTCTTCCCTTCCTCTCTCGTCCCCCCCTCTCTCTTCCCTCCCTCCCTCTTCTCTCTCTTCCCTCGCCTTCAATTTCTCCTCTCTTTCCTTCTCCCTGCTCTTTCCCCTGCTCTTCTTCTTCTTCTCTTTTCCCTTCTCCTTCCCGCGTTCCCTCCTGCCTCTTTCCCCTTTTTCCTTCTCCCTTTCCTTCTGCCACTCAACCACGATGCCCCTAGCCTCTCTCTCTGCTGCAGCTACGGTGCTGCTGGTGCCGATCGGACGGCCGTCAGACGAGATGGGAAGGATCGTACGGCTGTGGTCGTCGGTGTACTTTCGCCAGCATGCCTATTTCGGGTATGATGGAGGGAGCGGGGGAGTGGGGAAGTGAGGGGGTGGGGCAGGGAAAGGGTGAGCGGACGGGAAGGTTGAGAGAATAGCACAACGCAAGAGAACACATAATGGTCGAGTCGAGGTCTAAACAAAGGAACAAATCAAAACAGCAAACGTAAATATTTTCACATGTTCATGTACAAAACATATCAGAACACGACTTACCTGCAGTACGTTGGTAGCGAAGACGTCAAACTCGGGGAGCCAGGGGTCGGGTTGCACATGCGCGTGCAGGAAGCGGACGAGGTAAACATATTCGTATACAGGTTTACACGCATGCGCAAAACAGAACGTAACAAAACTCGCCTGGAGTATATTCGTGGCGAAGACGTCGAACTCGGGAAGCCAGGGATCGGGTTGCACGTGCGTGTGCAGGTAAAGGAGGTAAACATATTTATATACAGGTATATACATATAAGCAAAACGCAATAGAACAAAACTCGCCTGGAGAATGTTGGTAGCGAAGACGTCGAACTCGGGGAGCCAGGGATCGGGCTGCACGTGCGCGTGCAGGAAAAGTTGCCACGCCGCGTTCGCCTGCGCCACCACCCCCAGCGCCCTCCCCGCCCCCTGCTCCGCCACCCGCATGCGCGGCAGGAATGATGGCTTGTCCGCTGTGGGGAGGGGAGGTGTGGAGGGTGGGGGGTGAGGCGTGGAGCAGGCGGGAGGGGAACTAGCAGGAGGGGGAGGGGAAGCTGATAGGGGGAGCAGCGGGGGGAAAATGAAAGGGGGAGGAGGAGGGGCGAGCTGACAGGAATAAGGGGCGAAGGAGGGGGTAGTGGAAACGAAATCCAAGCATCAGCCCTACCTGACTCAGCCTAATATCGCGTATGCTCACCTGCACTAGTAGCGTCACACACGGCCAGCCACGCGTAAATTTCTTCCAGCCTGCCCGGCATGAACTCGGGCAGCTCATCCAAATCGTTCAACATGTGCGCCACGGGATCCCCTCCACCAATCGCAATCACCACCCACGCCAATCCCTCCTCCCGCACCACCGGAATCGCGCCGATCGGCTTCACTGTATGTACCTGCCCGAGTTTCGCGGGCCGACGGGAAAGATCTAGAACTTCCAATGCTGTTCCGCATCCCGAAACGCCGCCAAATTCGTCCACTTCCTCCTCGGGATCCTGCCACGTCTGCGGAAGCGCGCCGATGTGCCACGGCGCGTCGCGAGCAAAGTGCGACGGTTCGCCGTTTCGCGAGTTCGGAGTAACACGTAACGGCGTGTATTCTTCCGGTGCGAAATCGTGTTTCGCCCACGTCCCTCGCGGCGTCGTGCAAACAAAATTCAGCCACGTGTTTTTCCCGTATAATGGTATATTATGCCACGGTGACACTATATGTCCGCCATTATCCAGAAACATCATCCTAAAACCTAGTGACCCCGGCGAACCGAACTGAACCGCGTGACCTTCTCCATCCGTCTCGCCCCACGAGACCTCCGGAACTTGCGGCTGCTGACACGTTTCGGCTTCATACTCCCGATCCGGAAAGCTACTAGAAGCAGGGTCATCATTGTAACAATCACCAACAGACCTGCTCGTCGGGAAAATCAGGTCTCCCTCCTTCAGCACGACCGGATCCGTGCCGCGTTGCTCTAAGAGCGGTGCGACCGCCTCATTTGACTGCGGTGATCGCGCTGGCGCCAACACGGGGAGTGAGTTGAGACGAACCGGCGGCGGACGGTTTCTTTCGTTCTGCTTTCCGTTCGAAGGCTGCCCAAACTGTGTCCACGTGGCCTTCTCCCTTTGCGGCGCGACTCGGCTACTACTGGAAGTGAACGACCGCTGCCACATCGCGTCTATTGCGCGGCGCGCAGCGCGCGTTCGCGCAACGCCCGCGTGAGTCTTAGTTGTCACCTCGACGACAAGAAATGAACGGCTGCCGCATGTTACCCCCAGCGCGTTCGCCGTGTTTCGCGCATGGCGTCCGCAGATGCGGCGCCTGACTCAGGTGACGTATCTCGTGTGCAAGCTACATCGGAAAGACTCCCGCGACGAATCCCTGATTTTTCCGTGCGCAAACGAGGCCGTAGCGTGAGCCGCCTACCGACGACCCTGAGGGTAATACGAGCTACGAATGAGTCCGACTAACGTCACGAGTGACCGTGAGTCGCGGTGACACTGATACGGAAGGCTTCGCGGACTTCACGGGGCCGTGCAGGAGTCACGGTGACGGCGACGCGTCATACGTCACAGGTATCGTCCGTGATACCGCCGGTACTACACGCGCTCCCACAAAAGTCTTACGGATGATATTTCTGAGAAATCAAAGAATTAGTACCGTCTGTGGGAGGCAGAACCCTGATTGTGGAATGTTGAGATTGAGAGACTGTCACAAGCCCCGTCAGAGGATGTTCACGCCGCACAGCATTTGACGATTCGACATAACTTTGCAAACCCTCCTTTTCAACCGTCGGTTGAGCAGCTTTTTGAAAAGGGGGGACCTTCCAGCATGAATATGATCAGAAACGCATCACCTGCCAGGAATAGGAAGGAAGGCGAAAGGAGAGGGAAGTGAGGGCGTGAGATTTGAGTGGTGAGGGCAGTGAGGGCGTGAGGTAGGCGCTGTTCAAGCCCGATAAATCAACCGCGAGGTAACATGTTGGGGAGTGTACTAAGTGCTGCACGTAGCTCGACGTCAAGGGATGTCGGTGAATCCTGACGGTTGGAACTGTCGATCCGAGGGTTGAAAAATTACCGACATAACTCACGTTCACTTCGATCAAGCTTGAAAGATTTGTGGGCTCAAGGAGCAGATGAGATGAAACGAAGCGAAATACAGAACATTTATGTTTGTCGTTTCTTGTGAATCATGTAAGGATGCAAGCTGGGCATTCGCCTGGTTTTGTTGTACAGTCCGTGTATGTTGACCTGACCGTGCGTTAGATACGACGAATCGCATAGTTAAAGTCAAATTTCCCCACTGAACAGCAAATCTTTCGGCCGTTATGCCTTTCATTTCTGCACTCCATTGAACTGTACAGTAAATCAAAAATTACTTATTTTTCTCACACCATACCCTGATGTGTGGGGAGAGAACAAGTCAAGCTGGAGGACCGAGAAACCACCCACCAACATTTCTTTTTTTTTTTTTTTTTTTTTTTTTTGAAAGAAATGCTTCAAATCTGGTTGCTGCGGAGCAGAAGCCAGTGCATATGTAGTAGTGTCCTGAGTCCTGACGAGTTAAATGGCGGAAACCAAGGTGTATGATTTTTTGTTTTTTTTTTTGTGTATTTTTTTTTTTTTTGGAAAACGCAGCCTCAAGAACACCCCAGTAGAACAGCACATAAGGAACCCCAAAAGACACCCCAACGAGATACCCCCAACGAGACACCCCAACGAGACACCCCAACGAGACACCCCAACAATACGCCCCATCTAACCAAACCCCCCACCCCCCTCACCTAAACCCACCCTCTAAACCCGCATGTCCACCAAATAGGGCGCATCCGCCCACGGAGCATCCCATCCCATCTCCTCCTCAAAATCCTCCCGCTCCACCGAAACAGCCTCTGGGCCTCTCATCATCGACGCCGCGCGCAACAAGATCACACGTGCCTGAGCCCGCTGCAAAGCCACACCTATGGCCGCTTTAAGTGATCCAAGCAAGTAAGCCGAGAAACCTTTCCCCGTAGCTCTCGCCGCCCCTACGAAACATTTCTTTTTCGTAGCTAACGCTCGTTGTTGGGTCTGGTCTCGCGACCTGCAACAAAGCGTCACGCGCAATGTTCAAAGTCGCCAGAACCGACAACATGACCAAATGTTCACCGCACTGCCACAGGCAGCACAGTCGAACACGCGGTAGTATACGTTGAGAATGTGAAATATTGATAATGTAATATCTACCGTTCTTCAAACACTTACAGAAGTTTATGCTTACATCCTTCGCTACCTAATGGCTCTTTCCAACATATCACATACCACAATATGGTGAGACATATTCGTTAGATTGGGGCTGTACAGTTATCGAGGCCTTTGTTAGCGACAATTTGCTTGTTTTCAGCACACGTAGCTCCTAGAATCCACTTTCACTGGAAAATTAGAGCAAGTTTCTAGGCGCACACTAGGAGGTCTTTCTGACACAAGGCGTTTCATAGCGAGAATTTGCGACGTCGGCAGGTGTGGTAACGGGCTTCTGTTTCAGCCGATCCGCGCTCTTGCCACCATGTCGCTCATTAATCCGTTAACAGCAGACGCATTGCTTCGTATAAGAAAGTAGAACTCTCAAGGCGCAGCATTATAATCCGAACGCTCTTCATCAGTAGGATCGGTTCGCTCGGTGTCCACATTCGCGGAAGTTCGTCGGGCTGCCGCTGCCCGCTGCCGCTGGGATGGAGTGCGTGGTTGAGGGAATCATCGAGAGTAAGGTGCGTGGGTCACGGAATGATTGAGATGCGTGCAGTTGACTCCCTGTCTCCCGCTTCCTATTCAACCCTCTCGCTCTCGCTTCCCCCACACCTGCTCTCTCCCCGTCCCATCCCCCTCTCCTTTTCCATCCCATTCCCCCCGACCCACCAGCATGTGCGTGCACTCGTGGAGCTTATAGAGGGGATAACAGGCGCCAGAGAAGAGAAGCTGGATCTACACCAGTTGGTGTACAGAAATGCACCCAACATAGGTACAGTGTGAGAATGAGAGTTCATGCTCCATGCATCATGTGCGTGCACTCGTGGAGCTTATAGAGGGGATGACAGGCGCGAGGGAGGATCTACACTAGTTAGTGTACAGATACGCACCCAATATAGGAATTGTGGAAGAATGTTCATGTTCTATGCTCTAGCTCTATGCTCTGTGCTCCATGCTTCACAGACCATGCATCATTCATCATGCCCCATGCCCCATGCTCCATGCCCCATGCCCCATGCTCCATGCCCCATGCCCCATGCCCCATGCTCCATGCCCCATGCCCCATGCCCCATGCCCCATGCCCCATGCCCCATCCGCCATGCCCCATCCGCCATGCCCCATGCCCCCATGCCCCCATGCCCCATGCCCCCATGCCCCCATGCCCCATGCCCCATGCATGATGTTAGGTCTGGGGGTCGTCCCTACTACAATGCAGCGGCTACATTGAAAGCGCTTCTGTTTCCTCATAGTGTTCCGCCTCTGCCACTCCATTCTTTGAGGCGCCTCAAAAAAATCGTCGCAGTTTTTTAGGCTCCTCAAAAAGCGCTTCTATTTCCTTATAGTGTTCCGCCTCTGCCACTCCCTACCATCATGTGTATCCCATCAGGACCCATACCCTGTGCATCTGTTTGCCACCCCCTTGTACCGTGTTGCACCGTGCTGCATCGTGCTGTACTGTCTGTATCCCACCAGGAGCCATACCCTGTGAGGTCCGACTGGAATGTCCTCTCAACCGCACCCCACCCATATGGTACGCCCTCTCAACTGGATGGCATGGGATGCATGGGGTGGACATACATGGTATGGACATGGTATGTATGGACATGCATTGCATGGCATGCATGGCATGCATGGGATGCATGGTATGTACATGGATGGGATGCCTTTTTCTGTTCGGGAGCATTCTATGATGCCATGCCATCCATGTGCATGCCAAACCGAGGTGACTGTCAGTCAACTCAAAAGTGACATCGACTCGACTCAAAAGTCACTTTGACTCGACTCAAAAGTCACATCGACTCGACTCAAAAGTCACATCAACTCGACTCGAAAGTCACCTCGGGAGCATTCTATGATGCCATGCCATCCATGTGCATGCCAAACCCGAAACTTGTTGCGTCTCCCCTTTCCCCCATCCCAGGACCATGGTGCATGTAGAGGGGGCTATGAGGGGAGTAGGAGCAGACCAGTTGTCATCACTCGCTCGCAGCATAGTGCGCCTGAGAGACCCCCCCTTTCTCTTCTCCCTTCCTCCCCCAATTCGCCTGTCCCCTGCTTCCCCCCACCCGCCCCCACACAAACCAGGACCATGGTGCATGTAGGGGGGGCCATGAGGGGGGCGGGGGCGGATCAGCTGGCATCTCTAGTACGCAGCATAGTGCGCGTGAGGGCATCCCGCTCAGTGATACACCTTGTACCCGCTATAGGCCTCCGCCTCGACCACGAGGTATTGTTTTGGACTTGGCTAAACGAATTCTGTTGTCAGTGATGCACCTCGTACCCGCTATAAACCTCCGTCTTGACGACGGAGTTACTGTTCTGGGCTGAGGCTGAACACTTTGTTCTTTTCCATCTCTCGCGTGCAGCGCAGTGACCTTTGCTCTCTCTCTTCTCTCCTCCTTCCCCTCCTCCTCCATTCATTCCAGCTCATCCGCCGAGGCTCTGCTTTCGACTTCGCCCATCGCTCTCACGCCATGAGGCTCGAAGCCTTTGCTCCGCTGCGCCTTTCACCCCCCGTCCCCTCCGTCCTCTCCATCCCCTCCATCCCCTCCGTCCCCTCCTCCCCCATTCAATCCCCCACAGCTCATCCGCCGAGGCTCTGCTTTCGACTTCGCCCATCGCTCTCACGCCATGAGGCTCGAAGCCTTTGCTCCGCTGCGCCTGCCAAGGCAGCATGCAGTGAGCGACGCGCAGCCGCTGCCCTCGCTGGCCGGGCTGCATGTGGTGGAGGTGACAGCTGCCGCTGCTGCTGAGACATACACTGAGACCGCTGCTGCTCTTAGTTCATTCGCCGATCTCATTGCTCCGTGAGTGGATCCTTAGGCTGCTTCTAGTATAACTCTCTGGTAATCAGACGCCTAGGCACTGCCCATTACTGCCCTCGCTGGCCAGGCTGCATGTGGTGGAGGTCACTGCTGCTGCTGCTGCTGCTGAGACCTACACTGATACTGCTGCTGCCCTCAGTTCATATGCTGAACTCATTTCCCGTGGGTTGATTCTTAGGCGAATATTGGTTTATCTGCCTTGTAATACGATGCCCAGCCGCTGCTGTCTCTGCCCGGGCTGCAACTGGTGGAGGTCACAGCTGCTGCCCCCTTTTTTCATCAACTCTCCCACTTGGGGCACTTTGGTCCACTTTTTTCATCCCCTCTCCCAAGTCGACTAAAAAAAAGCTGCCCACTTTGCTCCCCTCTCCCACAGGTGGTATCTCACTTCCGTCTGTCTTTCAATCCCTCCCACCTGCTGCCATGATGCCATCTCTGCTGGCCTCTCACCCGCTGCTGCTTCGACTGCTGGCCTCCCACCCGCTGCTGCTTCGTCTGCTGGCCTCTCACTTCCTCTCACCCACCCCATTGCCCATGCCTTTTCCCATTTCCCTTCTCTCCCCCTTGCAATTCCCCTCTTGCATCAGATTGGTTCGTCTATCCAAGCCCACCATCTCAGCTGGCCTCTCACCGGCTGCTGCTTCAACTGCTGCTGCTGTTTGCCCTGCCTAGGTTTGTGCTATGGGATTGTACAAGACGATTCTGTCGCATGATGTCTACAGTGCATTATGCTTTTTTTTATCTTAAAGAAACGAGCTGCTCTATTAATTCTGCCTGCGGACAATCCAGCTGAACTATCTTTTCGTACGGTGTAGGAAACGCCCATAGGCACCAGTTGGCAGTGTCTTCGTTTTGAGGCGCCTCAAAACTAGACCAAACAAGTCTGACACGGGTTGCCTCTGGTACTGTAAGGGTACATTCCGCTGTGGAAACTGTCCCAATCGATGTGTCCCAATCGAGTGTACCGCTCCGAACCGAACTAAACCAGAGACGCGAAAATTTCGAAACGATGGTGCAATTTGGTGTAATACGATGCAGTGCGGTAGAAACGATTGGGACACATCGATTGGGACAGTGTCCACAGCGGAATGTACCCTAAGAGGTGTAGGAAACGCCCAAAGCTGCCAATTGGCAGTGGCTTCATGCCTTGAATGGTTTGTCACAAGTGCTTCGCCATAAAAGGTGTACTAAAGTATACAGCGCAACACCACCACAGCTCAGCATACCGTAAATGTGATGATTCAGCTCAGCATGCATGCCTACTGTAGATGATGTCCTTGGGGACACCATAACATACGCGCCATGCCATCAGAGGTCACTCTCATGGACATCCAAGTGTTGGAAACATTTAATTTGCACTCCTGAAGTAACGAACACTACAACGTAAACAAAGCGAACTACAACGAAGTAACGGCGAGTCAACCAAAGCGGTCGACAAGGCGACAACAGCAGGAGGTTGAAGCGAAGGTCAAAGGTCAGCAAACTTTGACTTAACAAGGGCAGCGCGTCAGCAAGGACAAATAACTGACTCGCTATTGAGCAGTTACCCGAGTCGTCGCTGTATCGAACCGCAACAGCAATTAGAGTTAAACCTTTCGTATTCCTGGTAATCATATAAAACCTTGTACCGGTATCTCTTTGCTATAATAAACTCATCTTGTTCTCACATACTAGTGCAAGGTGGTTCAATTACTCCACTATTACGCTTCCGCTAATACATCACCACTCTGAGAATTTAGTATTGAAAACGATCCTAAGGGCTTTTTCAGCCCAACATGGTATGAGGGTACATTCCGCTCAGGACATGCCCAACATGGTATGAAAGTGTCGCAATCGATTGTGACGCGTACTTTCAGCATATGCTGCCATACGTCGAAATTCAGGACCGCGCAGCAAAGTCGCAAAACGTTATTTCGATTGGCTAGCGTGAACCATGGAAATTTCGCGGGCTAATTGAACGCCAGCGCGACAAGGACCTGCCTGTCATAATTATATTCTTATACCTGCATGTAGTTCTAGCTGTAGTGTAGATATTAACTTTATAGGTGGTGCACCTCTTTGTTTGCTATATGTACCCTAGTGCTATGGTGAACATTCATTCTCCTCTCATTTTCTCGACTCTCCCTCCTTGGCACAAACTAGCTCGACCCTCTTTGGCCTAGGCTACTAAGCCTAGGCCCACTTAAACCTAACCGCTTATGCCACTATTTCGACACTGCCATCGCACGCGGTTCCAAATGTCTATCCCCTCTACATGTACCTGGTTGGATTTTGAGGGGCTTGCTGTGTTGGTGCGGCTGATCGTCACAATGAGTGGTCCACTCACGCGAAGGGCCAATCACATCCCTTCTCGTATAATTGTCGCGTGCTAGTGCAGCGTCGCAGTACATCGATCCTTCGTGACATCAGGTTCAGAGACATTTGAGTGCGACTCGGCCAAAATGTGTTTGCGACGCTTTCTTAAGGGACATGTCCTGAACGGAATGTACCCCGAGAGCCTGCAAGACAAAACTCAACTCTGTTCAACTTCCTGCAACATCAGAAGACATGGCAATACAGAAGAAAAAAAACTCGTCTACTGGATCTCCCGGTACTACTCCTACTCCACAGCCAGCCTTTAGACTGCAGATAGAAGGAGGCACAACTCAAAAACCAGCTGCTGAGTCAACTGAGACTCATGCGAACCAAGCAACCGGCATTGACCCAAGCATGATGAAGAAATTCTTCTCCTTCATGTTGTGATACGAGCAACATCAACTGTCAGAATCACTGTGCAGGAATAAATGAACTATGAATGAGTTGGGTACAAGTATTAACCCTTAAGTGTTGTACCCCTTGTAGGTTAATGTCAAACTTATATGCTATAGTCTATCTAGGCTGTAGTGGGGTAGTTCATATAGGGTACAACACTTTTAGGTTTCCTACTTGTACCCACCTGCTTGCTAGTTCAGTGATTCATTCCTTCAATATTCTAACATGGTATTCTGAGCAGGTTCCCTCGTGGGTACGTTTTTTTTAGGGCCCACCACGAGATTTTTTTTTTCCTGCCCTGCCCGAAGCGCGCCTCGCGCTTGCCTTACCTGCGCCGTCGCGCGCCCTTCCCTAGCCGGCCCGTCGCGGCCCCTACTGCCGACGCGGCCCCTGCTGCCGTCGTGGCCCCTGCTGCTGTCGCGGCCCCTGCTGCTGTCGCGGCCCCTACTGCCGTCGCGGCCCCTGCTGCCGTCGCGGTCCCTGCTGCCAACGCGGCCCCTGCTGCCGTCGCGGCTCCTACTGCCGTCGCGGCCCCTGCTGCTGTCGCGGCCCCTGCTGCCATCGCGGCCCCTGCTGCCATCGCGGCCCCTGCTGCAGTCGCGGCCCTTGCTGTCGTCGCGGACCCTACTGCAGTCGCGGCCCCTGCTGCCGTCACGGACCCTGCTGCCGTCGAGGCCCCTGCTGCCGTCTTGGCCCCTACTGCCGTCGCAGCCCCTGCTGTCGCGACCCCTGTTGTCGAGGCCCCTGCTGTCGCGGCCCCTGCTGTCGCCGCACCTGCAGTCGTGGCCCCAGCCGTCGCGGCCCTTTTGCTGCCGCGGCCCCTGTCGTCGAGGCCCCTGCTGTCGCGGCCCCTGCTGTCGCCGCACCTGTAGTCGCGGCCCCTTTGCTGCCGCGGCCCCTGCCGTCGCGGCCCCTGCTAACGAGGCCCTGCCCTGCGCCGCCCCTGGTAAGCACCCGCGCCGCCCTGCTGCGCTGCGCCGCCAGGAACTGAGCCGCGCCGCCAGGCCGAGCCGCGTTGCCCAGCCGAGCCGTGCCGCTCAGCCGAGCCGCGCTGCCCACCAAGTCGAGCCGCTCTGCCGAGCCGCGCTGCCCTGCCGAGCCGCGCCGCCCTACCGAGCCGCGCTGCCCTACTCAGCCGCACTGCCCTGCCTGCACTTCTCCTGCTGCCACTGCTGCTTCTACTACCACTGCTCCTACTACTGCTACTGCTGCTAATGCTGCTAAGGCTAGCCCTACTGTTCTCACGTTTGATGCTGAGGGGCGTGTAGTTGACTTTGACGTGTGGGTTGACGACCTGCAGCTCTTTCTTCAGTGTGATTCGAGGGATGGGGTATCCCTTTTCGATCACACTTCCGGTGTCTCTACTGCTCCTGCTGCCACTGCTGACAGTACGGTTCGCTCGCAGTGGACCACTCGTGACGCTGTTGCTCGTCTTGCTGTTCGTAGTCACCTGCCGCCTGCTGGGCGCGCGCATTTTGGCCAGTACAAGACTGCTCAGTCTTTGTACGACGCTGTAGTTGCGCGCTACTCCTCCCCTGCCACTGCTGCCCTCAGCCGCCTCATGCTGCCGTACGCCTTTGCCACAGTTGCTGACCTCATTACTCACCTCCGCACTAGTGACGCCCGCTACCGCGCTGCCCTTCCCACTGATTTCTGTGCCAAGAACCCCCCCCCCATGTACATCACCCTTTACTACCTAGTCACCCGCCTCCCTGACTCCCTTGCTTCAGTCAGGGACCACTTTCTCTCCCTTTTCCCCACCGAGCTCACTGTCGACCTGCTAGAGGAGCGCCTCGCTGCAGCTGAGAAGAGTATCTTAGCTGTAGGTGCTACTCGCGGCGACCGTCGCACCCCTTTCTTTGAGGGGTGTTCCCCTATCCCCCTTCTCCCCTCTGTTGCTTCTGCTGCTGCTGTCGACCTCGTTGGCACTGAGGAGGTCGGGACTGCGTCTGCTCCCAGTGGGAGGCGCCGCAACAGCAAGGGCAAGGGGAGCAAGGGTGGTGGAGGGTACGGCGGGGGCGGCGGCGGAGGCGGTGGAGGAGGCGGAGGGGGTGGCGGTGGAGGTGGGGGTGGTGCCGGGAGTGGGGGCTTCAGTGGCAGCGGTGGAGGTGGTGGAGGCAGCGGCGGAGGTGGTGGAGGCAGCGGCAGCGGTGGTGGAGGCACCGGCAGCGGTGGTGGTGCTGGTCGAGGTGCAGCCGCGCAGCGTGGAGGCTTTGGTGGTAGCCAGCGCCAGCAGCAGCCGCGTTCCCGTGAGACCCCGTCGGCCCAGCAGCTCCGTGAGTGGTACGCTGGGCGTGGGAGGTCTGGGGGTGCTGGTCCCTGCACTTACGTTCTTCGCACCGGCAGTCGTTGTGGGGAGACGTGCGGGCTGCCACACACTGCGCAGCGCTGCTTCGGTCGCCTGACTGACGCCTGGCGCGCCCAGTTTCCTGACGCTGTTGAGCTCCCTCGCTGGGGTGATCTGCTTAGGCAGAATGTGGCTATCTTTGATCTTGATTTCGATGCTATCCTTGCTGCCATGTATGCTTTGACTGATAGTGCTGAGGGTGACTGTTACCTGAGTGTCCCGCCCGACCCGGGCATTGAGGCTGCTGCTCTAGGTGCTAGTGCGTCTGCTGCTCCAGGTCCTGGTGAGTCTGCTGCTCCAGGTGCTGGTGAGTCTGCTCTCTCTGGTACTGCACCTTCTGAGGCCTTGCACACTTTCACACTTGACTCTGGTGCTTCGCGCTCTTTCTTTTGAGACAGCACCACACTCACGCCGCTCAGTCGGCCTGTCGCAGTCTCCCTGGCTGACCCCTCTGGGGGCCCCGTCCTTGCGCACTCTTCCACGATTCTACCGTGTCCTGCGGCCTCGTCGGGCTTGCTGTCGGGACTCCACATCCCCTCGTTCTCTACGAACCTGGTGAGTGGAGCTGACCTCCAGGACGCGTGGGTTGACCAGTTCACCCCTGGAGGTCAGCGTGTGACCCACTGCACTTGCTCTCGGACGGGCCGCCACCTGGCCACGTTCACCCGTCGGCCTGGGTCGAGTCTGTACACACTGACTACTGCGTCTCCTCCGGTCTCTGCGTCTGGTCAGGTAGCCGTATCTAGTCAGGTGTTTGCTGCTGCGTCCAGGTCTAGTCTTGCGTCAGCCCCCTGCTCGTGTCGTCCTCTGTCGCACGAGACTCTCCTCTGGCACCACCGCCTTGGTCACCCCTCCCTGCCTCGTCTTTGAGGTATGGCCTCCCGTACCCTTGTCTCGGGTCTACCCCGGTCCCTCCCTCCCCTTCCTCTGGGGCCTGCCCCTATCTGTGTTCCTTGTGTCGAGGGCCGACAGCGCGCCGCTCCTCACTCCTCCACGTTCCCTCCGACAGAGGCTCCCCTGCAGACTCTTCACATGGACGTGTGGGGCCCAGCCCGCGTCCGTGGACAGGGTCACGAGCGTTACTTCCTGCTGGTCGTTGACGACTACTCGCGTTACACCACAGTCTTCCCCTTGCGCAGCAAGGGTGAGGTCCCTGAGGTGTTGATCGACTGGATCCGCGGTGCTCGTCGCCAACTCAGCGAGCATTTCGGCTCGGACCTTCCTGTTCTGCGTCTGCACTCAGACAGAGGTGGTGAGTTTTCCTTCGACCTCCGAAGGGCCTTCTGTCGTGCGGAGGGCATCCGCCAGACGTTCACGCTTCCGGCCTCCCCACAGCAAAATGGGATTTCTGAGCGCCGCATTGGCATGGTCATGGACGTCGCTCGTACGTCCATGATCCATGCGGCTGCTCCCCATTTTCTGTGGCCGTTCGCGGTTCAGTACGCTGCGCATCAGATCAACCTTCAGCCTTGTGTCTCCTTGCCGGAGACCACACCCACTCTTCGGTGGACGGGGAAGGTTGGCGATGCGTCTGTGTTCCGTGTCTGGGGATCTCGAGCTTTTGTCCGCGATACTTCAGCGGACAAGCTGTCCTCCCGTGCCGTTCCCTGCGTCTTCCTTGGCTTCCCCCCTGACGCACCCGGGTGGCAGTTCTACCACCCCACCTCGCGTCGTGTTCTGTCCTCTCAGGACGTCACGTTTGACGAGTCGGTGTCTTACTACCGTCTCTTTCCCTACCGCAATGCCTCTCTCCCCCCCCCGCCACTCTTCCTAGCATCAGGTACTCCTCCGGTTGACCACCTCCCCCCTCAGGGTCCTGCCCCCTCAGGTGTGTCTCAGGTAGACCCTGCCGAGCTGGTCGAGGTAGCTGTCGACTTAGGTGCTGTTAGGGGTGCTGAGCCTTCGGGTGCGGGGACTGGGGGTGCGGAGACTGGGGGTGCGGGGCGTGGGGGTGCTGAGCCTGGGGGTACTGCGTCTTGGGGTGCTGAGCCTGCGCGTGCCGAGTCTGGAGGTTCTCCGGGTGTCCCGTTGCGGCGGGAGCCCCTCTCTCCGCAGCGGCTTCGTGAGTGGTACGCTCGGCGCTGTCACCGTGCTACTGGTGCTGCTGTAGCTGCTGGAGGTGCTGCTGGTGCTGGAGCTACTGGAGGTGCTGCTGGTGCTGGAGCTGCTGGAGGTGCTGCTGGTGCTGGAGCTGCTCGAGGTGCTGCTGGTGCTGGAGCTGCTGGGGGTGCTGCTGGTGCTGGAGCTGCTGGAGGTGCTGCTGGTGCTGGAGCTGCTGGAGGCGCTGCTGGTGCTGGTGATGGAGCTGCTGGTGCTGCAGGCGTTGGCGCTGCATGTACTGGAGCTGGTGGTGCTGCGGGAGTTGTTTCTCGAGACCCTGGATCTAAGGGTACTGGTGCTGTCTCTGCTGTTTCTGGAGGCGCTGCGCGACCGCGGCCGTACTACGTTCCGCTCCTTCAGCAGGTTCTTGGTCTACAGTCTTCTCCTGGTCCTACTCCTCCTTTACTGAGTCCACCGCCTGTCCAGTCACAGACGCAGTTACAGCCGGCCTCTCCACTTCCGGGTCCTTCTCCTTACTCTGGACCGACTAGAGGTCTTACGGAGCGTCGTGAGCCTGAGTCGCTACTGTGTCGCTTGAGTCTCGTCCTGCGTCACCTGAGTCTCGTTCTGAGTCGCCTGTCCGCACTGTTCGCGCTGGTCGTCGTGTTCCGCGTCCGCGTCCTCCTCCTGTCCCTAGCACTCACTCTATGACCCTACGTCCTTCCATTGCTCCACAGCGTGTCCCTCTGCCGTCTCCTCCTGCGTCCTCTCTTCCTGACCGTCCGGACCCGGAGTCTGACTCCCTTCGTGCTGCTAGTCCTACTGTCACGCGCTTTCTGGCCACTACTGTCACTGACCCTTTATTTGAGTCCACTGCTGCGTCTGCTCTCGTTGCTGAGCTTGTTGACTTTGCTGCAGCCTGTCGCCTAGACTTTGCCACTAGTCTTGTTGCTGAGTCTGCGTCTGAGTCTGTCTGTCCTCCGTCCGTCGGGGGTGAGAGTGCTCTTGGCACGGACGTTCTTGAGGACAGACAGGAGGAGTTTGAGTGCTTTGCCGCTGCTGTACCTCATCTCGTGTCCATGCTGCTTGCCCCTGAGGGAGACCCGGATTCACCAGATATCCCGACCCCGCGTTCTTACGCAGAGGCGATAGAGGGTTCGTACTCCTCTTAGTGGCAGGCAGCCATGGACGCCGAGATGGCTTCCTGGAAGTCCACAGGCACCTACATCGACGAGGTTCCCCCGCCTGGGGCGAACATCGTCAGTGGCATGTGGATCTTCAGGGTGAAGCGGCCGCCGGTTTCTCCGCCTGTCTTCAAGGCGCGTTACGTTGCACGTGGCTTCAGTCAGCGACAGGGAGTTGACTTCTTCCAGACCTTCTCCCCTACCTTGAAGATGACAACTGTTCGGGTGCTAGTGCACGTCACCGCTCAGCGTGACTACGAGCTACACTTGCTTGACTTCAGCACAGCCTTCCTACAGAGCAGCCTGCACGAGGAGATCTGGCTGCGCCGCCCACCTGGCTTCACTGGGTCGTTTCCTGCTGGTACCCAGTGGAGCCTCCGGCGGCCAGTCTACGGTCTCCGCCAGGCACCCCGTGAGTGGCACGACACGCTGAGGACGACTCTTGCTACTCTTGGTTTTGCTCCTTCCACTGCTGACCCGTCACTGTTTTTACGCACTGACTCCACTCTGCCGCCGTTCTACGTTCTCGTGTACGTAGACGACCTTGTCTTTGCTACTGCTGACACTGAGGCACTCGCCCACGTGAAGTTCGAGCTGCAGAAGAGACACACGTGCACAGACCTGGGTGAACTAACAAGCTATCTTGGCTTGCGGATCACCCGGGACAGAGCACAGCGCACCATTACCTTGACTCAGTCACACATGGTGCACCAGGTCCTTCAGCGCTTCGGCTTCATGTACTCCTCGCCACTGTCCACTCCTCTGCCTACCGGTCACTCGCTCTCAGCTCCACCTTCGGACGAATCCGTAGAGCCGAGTGGCCTGTATCCAGAGCTTGTGGGCTGCCTCATGTACCTGATGACTTGCACACGACCTGACCTCGCATACCCTCTCAGCCTTCTGGCTCGCTACGTGGCTCCCGGCAGGCACCGAAAGGTGCACTGGGATGCTGCGAAGAGGGTGTTGCGCTACTTGTGCATTACGTCGGGCATGGGGCTCGTGCTTGGAGGACGGGCTCGAGTTGTCCTCAGTGGTCACGCAGACGCTTCCTGGGTTGATGACTTGGCTACGCAGCGGTCGTCACAGGGTTACACCTTCAGCCTTGGGTCCGGTTCTGTCTCTTGGCAGTCTACCCGCTCGTCTTCGGTTCTCAGCTCCAGTTGTGAGGCTGAGATCTACGCTGGGGCCATGGCTGCACAGGAGTTACGCTGGCTCACCTACCTGCTGACCGACTTGGGAGAGGTGCCTCGTTCTCCTCCAATTCTGTACGTCGACAATAAGGCCATGCTTGCCTTGTGTCAGGAGCACAGACTGGAGCACAGAATGAAGCACATTGCTCGAGAGTTGCAGCAGCGTGGCCAGCTTCGTCTCGCTTACGTGGCCTCACAGGCCAACACTGCTGATGTTTTCACCAAGGCACTTCAGCCTTGTGATCATCAGCGTTTCTATACTGTTCTAGGCCTTGTACCTACTGTGCCTCACTTGCTTACTTCTTGACTTTGCTTGTACTATACTCTATATACATATATATGCATGCTTACACTTGCTAGGTTGAGTTCACAGCATTGTTTGTTTTCCTTTATATAACTCTGCATGTGAACTGGCCTTGTGGCCATTTGCTTGTGCTGAGACTGCGTGGTGACTTTGTGATCCACCCTGAGCTTGCTTTGCCCTTCTTGACTGGTCTTGTGACCTCTTGTTCTCCCCCACTTTGCCTATGGGGGTGTGTCAAACTTGTATGCTATAGTCTATCTAAGCTGTAGTGGGGTAGTTCATATAGGGTACAACACTTTTAGGTTTCCTACTTGTACCCACCTGCTTGCTAGTTCAGTCATTCATTCCTTCAATATTCTAACAGCTAACCCATCATGGCCTAGAGAGAACACAAACATATAGTTTGACACACCCCCATAGGCTAAGTGGGAGATTGCAAACACAACAGACGGTCAAGCAAGAGAAAAAAGCAAACCAAAGCTCAGGGTGGATCTCAAGGACACCACAGAATCTGAGCACAAGCAAGCGGCCACAAGGCCAGTTCACATGCAGAGTTATAATAGCAAGGTAGTACACTGATCACAACCTAGCAAGATTAAACAAGCAGATATAAAGATATATATCAGTGTACAACAAGAGCAAGTCAAGCAACCAGCAGGTGAGGCAGAAAGGGCACAAGCCCAAGAGCAATGGAGAAATGCTGATGATCACCAGACCCAAGGGCCTTGGTGAACACATCAGCAGTGTTGGCCCACGAGGCCACGTAGGAAAGGAGGAGCTGACGACGCTGCTGCAGCTCACGCGCAAGGAAGTAGCGAAGAGCAATGTGCTTCGTTCTGTGCTCCAGTCTCTGCTCATGACACAAGGCAAGCATTTCCTTGTTGTCGACGTACAGAACTGGAGGAGAACGAGGCCGCTCTCCCAAGTCAGTCAGCAGGTAGGTCAGCCAACGTAGCTCCTGTGCAGCCATGGCCCCAGCGTAGATCTCGGCCTCACAGCTGGAACCAAGCACAGAAGAAGAACGAGTGGACCTTCACGAGACAGAACCAGAGCCAAGACTGAAGGTGTAACCCTGTGACGAACGCTGAGTCGCGTGGTCGTCGGCCCAAGAAGCGTCGGAGTGTCCTATGAGTACCACTGAACCCTGTCCTCCAAGCACAAGCCCCATGCCCGATGTACTGCATATCAGAATTATATTATAACTGCATGTAGTTCTAGCCTTAGTGTAGTTATTATAATTTCCTGCTTGGTGGTGTACCCACCTTTCCTACCTTTTTTGTGCTCCACTTTCTATAGTGAAACCCCTTCTCCTTCTCAACTCTCTCTATAGTCGATGCCTAGCTTAAAACCCTAGGCATGGCTCCTAAGCTTGCTCCTCCTTCTTATGCTAATAATTCTGATATGGTATCAGAGCTACTTCGATCTTCGGACCTATCCTTTTTCGTGAAACATGGGCCCACCCACGCTGCAGCGCGAAATGCGGAATGCGAAATGCGAAATGCGAAATGCGAAATGCAAAATTCCTCGTCGCCCGTCGCCCCTGGCACGGCCCCGCGGCCCCCCATCACCCTAGCACGGCCCCGCGGCCCCGTCGCCCTAGCACGGCCCCGCGTCCCCGTCGCCTTTCACATGGCCCCGCGGCCCCGTTGCTTGTCGCGGCCCCGTCGCCCTAGCACGGCCCCGCGGCCCTGTCGCGCCCGACGCGCCTGCCCGTCCCGTCCCGTCGTCGCCCTGCACTCTCCCCGTCGTCGTCGTCGTTCCGCCCGTCGCCCTGCCCGTCGAAAGCGCCAGCGACAGCTCGGACCGCCAGCGCCAGCATCTGCGACTGCCGCCAGCGCCAGTGCGGAGCGCAAGCACCAGCGCCAACGCCAATACCTGCACCCAGCGCCAGCGCCAGCGCCGGAGCCTACACCTGCGCCACTGTCAGCGCCAGCGCCGGCAGCAGCTAACGCCGCCCCCCCCCCCCGCCCCCCACTCCCCCTTCCCTCTCACTGCTTCTGCCGTGGAAGGGGGGGAGATGTGGGGGTGGCGGTTGTGACCGACCAGCGGCTTGTCCCTCCCTTCCCTCTTTCTCTCTCCACTGCAGCGCTTTTTGCTGTGTGGGGGGAGGGGGGGGGGGAGAGAGGTGTAAGGGGGATGAGAGCGGTTAAGGGGGGACGACAGAGTGTGGCGGACGAAGCAGCCCCCCCCCCCTCATCTGCAACTGCCGCCCTCTGCTCCCGTGGTACCTCCGGCTGCAGCCCTAGTCGCCACTTTGCTTGTCTTGAATTTCTGTTGCTGTTGTGCGGCAGGTGCTGCCGTTGAGCCCAGCTGTGCCGCCACCGCTTGTGCCGCACGCTCCTGCTCTCCAGGCGGCCTGCCGCCACATGCACCTACTGCTGCTGTGCCGCCGCCCTTGCCGTCGCACGCTCCTGTTTCTGCTGCTTCTACCTTGGCTGCGGGTTTGCTGCAACTGTATCTGCCACTATTGCACTGGTTGTCACTGCTCTTGCGTGCTGCTGCTTTGTTCTGCTTGGTGTACCCCTGCAGGTTGTGTTTAGCACTTGGCTCTTCCTGCATGCAGTTAAGGGGGGATGTCAGAATTATATTATAACTGCATGTAGTTCTAGCCTTAGTGTAGTTATCCTAACTTCCTGCTTGGTGGTGTACCCACCTTTCCTACCCTATTTGTACTCCACTTTCTATAGTGAAACCCCTTCTCCTTCTCAACTATCTCGATAGTCGATGCCTAGCTTAACACCCTAGGCATGGCTCCTAAGCTTGCTCCTCCTTCTTATGCTACTTATCCTGATACTGCACAAGTAACGCAGTACCCTCTTCGCAGCATCTGCACCTTTTGGTGTCTACCGGGAGCCACGTAGCGAGCCAGGAGGCTGAGAGGGTACGCAAGGTCAGGTCGTGTGCACGTCATCAGGTACATGAGGCAACCCACAAGCTCTGGGTATGGACCACTCGGCTCTACGGACTCGTCCGAAGGTGGAGCTGAGAGCGAGTGGCCGGTAGATAGAGGATTGGGCTGTGGCGAGGAGAACTGGAAGCCGAAGCGCTGAAGGACCTGGTGCACCATGTGTGACTAAGTCCGGGTGATGGTGCGCCGTGCTCTGTGCCGGGTGATCTGCAAGCCAAGATAGCTACGCAGCTCACCCAGGTCAGTGCAGGTGTGTCTCTCCTGTAGCTCTGCCTTCACTAGGGCCAGCGCCTCAGTATCAGCAGTAGCAAAAACCAATTCGTTGACATACACGAGAACGTAGAACGGCGGCAGGTTAGTGTCGGTGCGTAGAAACAGCGACGGGTCAGCAGTAGAAGGAGCAAACCCAAGAGCCGTAAGTGTAGTCCTCAGTGTGTCGTGCCACTCGCGGGGCGCCTGGCGGAGACCGTTGACTGGCCGCCGGAGGCTCCACTGGGTACCCGCAGGAAACAACCCAGTGAAGCCAGGGGGGCGCAGCCAGATCTCCTCTTGAAGGCTGCCCTGTCAGAAAGATGTGGAGAAGTCGAGGGAGTGCTGCTCGTAGTCACGCTGTACCGCAACGTGCAGCAGCACCCGAAGAGTAGTCATCTTCCAGGTGGGGGAGAAGGTCTGGAAGAATTTGACCCCTTGTCGCTGACTGAAGCCTCGAGCAACGTAACGCGCCTTGAAGGCAGGCGGAGAACCCGGCGGCCACTTCACTCTGAAAATCCACATGCCATCGACTATGTTCGCCGCAGGAGGAGGAACCTCGTCGACATAGGTGCCTGTGGACTTCCAGGAAGCCATCTTTGCGTCCATGGCTGTCTGCCACTGAGAGGAGTACTCACCCGCGATCGCCTCAGCGTAAGATCGCGGGGTATGGATGTCAAGTGCATCCAGGTCTCCCTCGGGGCAAAGCAGCATGGATGCGAAACGAGGTAAAGCGGCCGCAAGACACTCAATCTCAAACTGTCTGTCCTCATGGACATCACTGCTAAGGGCAGGCTCACCCCCGACGGACGGAGGACAGACAGACTCAGACTGAGTAACAAGTCTCGCGACGTAGTCGAGTCGACTCCTAGCTGCAAAGTCGACTAGGTCAATGACTAGGGCAAACGCTGTAGTAGACTCAAGGTCAGGGTCAGTGACGGCAGTATCAAGGAGAGGAGTGATAGTAGGATTGGCTGCACGAGCAAGGTCGGACTTAGGGTCAGGAATGTGCGGAATGAGGACGCGGGAGGCTCAGGCAGAACAACACGCTGTGGAGCAGAGGAAGGACGAAGTGCCATACCGTGAGTGCTTGGGACATCTGGAGGACGAGGACGGGCGACACGACGAGCACGAACAGGTGTGGAAGCACGAGTCTCAGGCTAACGACGCTCAGTAAGGAACTCAGTCACCTCAGTGTGCGGAGCAGGAGCATGCAGCGAGGAGCCAGGCAGTAGCTGTGGCGGAGACTGGTATGTCGGTGAACATAGGAGAGGTGGAGTGAGGCCAGTGGAAGACGGGAGACTAAGAACCTGTTGAAGAAGTGAGTCCGGCAGCTCCAGCACCTCCAGTACCTCCAGTACCTCCAGCTCCAGCGCCTCCAGCACCAGCAGCACCACCTGCTCCGGCAGCTCCAGCACCTCTAGTACGAGCACCGCCATGACCAGCAGCTCCAGCACTTCCAGTACCTCCAGTACCTCCAGCTCCAGTGCCTCCAGCACCAGCAGTACCTCCAGCACCTCCACTGCCAGCAGCTCCAGTAGCACCTCCAGCACGAACAGCACCACCAGCTCCGGCAGCTCCAGCACCTCCAGTACAAGCACCTCCAGGACCACCTCCAGTACCTCCAGCTCCAGCGCCTCCAGCACTAGTAGCACCTCCAGCACTAGTAGCACCTCCAGCACCTCCAGCACCAGCTGTACCTCTAGGACTAGTAGGTCCAGCAGCACCTCCAGCACATCCAACAGTACCTCCTGTACCTCCAGCAGTACCCCCAGAGTCAGCACCCCCAGTCGCAGCACCCCAAGAACCAGCACTACAGTTCACAGCACCCCCAGCGAAAACAGGT